TACCAGAAGCGTCAAGGTTTTCTAAAGAAACTACACCACCATAAATATATCTACAGTATATAAATAATTAATTAAAATGTGAAACCATTGTTAATTCTAATTATTTATAATAAAGGTTCTATAATTATTATATAAAATTCAAATAGCTTACTTAATAGTAATATCAAATGTTTTAACAGAAATATCGGGCAATTTAATATTAAAGGTATTATTTCCTTTAATCGTATTTGTTAATTTTTGTTGAAAGTAAGAAGAGCGTTGGTATAATATTGCAGAATGTACTTTGAAAAGTTGAGTGTCTGGTTGTTCCCCAACTTCAATTATTGTATCATAATTATATTCATTCTCAATAAGGTTGGTAAAATCTTGCGAAAGTTTGTCATAAAATGTCAACATTTGGAAACAATGCTGCAATGGTACAGAAACGCCTGATCGACAGGCATGCATTTGTATTGTGAAACCGGAATATCGTGACCGATCACGTGAAAAATGCACGAAATGCAATAAGTGCAATAAGTTACATTTAAGATCGGAAACGATATTTCGGATACAAAGGGGTATATAGGGAATAAGTGGAGGAAATAAAGGATATTAAGTAAATAGCTTTAATAGATAATAAGTGTAAAGTCGCATTTTGTGAGCGACGTTATAAATAAAGGCCGGAATGGCCCTTAGGAGCAGTATGCTTCGTTTGCTTTATTAAAATAACAAGTCCCAATAAATTACATTGTACATAATAAACACTAACGCTATTACCGTTACAAACCCTGTAAACCCCCATAATCATTGTTGTTCGTTCGAGTTCTTTATCACGTGACTTACCCTGCTTGTCTTCGTTGACCCAAAGTAATCGAAAGCCTTAATCACCCACCAGCCAAATCCAACACCCTCTTTCTTAAAGGTTACCTATCGTACGTTACACTAGATTTTGAATTGTGGAGCGACTGAGTCGCAATCTTCCGAACACAACAGTATGCAATTTAAATCCGATACACAGCCAATCAACATCAGTTATATAGATTCAGTGTGAAGTTAAAAGAGTATAATAGATTCATGTCTAAGAGACAATTAGTCATGGCGTTTGAAATTTCGGCACATTTGGGTTTTCACATTTCCATACACCAAGCCTTTTTTCTATGGCGTATTTAAACTATACATGGCGTAGAAAGTATTTTGGCACAATTTCTACCTGAATTTTGGCATGCGGCATTGCCTAAATCCAAAATTTATGCCACAATTGATGATCAATACCGCATGCCAAAATTAATGCCGCAAATATTAAAAGTGACCAAAAGTCTAAAAATAAATAAAATTTATTGCATCATTATTATTTCAATAATTATTTGTAATGATAGTAATGATATTATTTTGATCAATTAAATAAACTATAAAAAAAAATTTTTATTAAAATAAGTAATACATATTTAATAATATCAAAAATAGTCGACAAGTCAAAATTCTTTATTCAAATGGCTTCATTTTCATCTGATTCTACTAATTTACAAGAAATTACAGTCTTTAAAAATTTAACTGAAAGACCTCCAAAAGAGGTATGGGATTATATTCAGAAAGTAGCACCCAAAGACCGTGGACACTATAGTGCACAATATAAAAAATGTGGTAAATCTTGGGCACGTGGAAAGCCAAAAAATTTAGAAGATCATTTGGCTACCGAATGTACAAAAGTTGACTTTGAAGTTAAACAAAAATTTCTTCGTATAGTAGTTACAAGAAATTATACAAAAGAAAGTGATGTTGAAAAGGATACTGAAGAGGATTTTCCAATATTTAAAAAGGCTCGTACTATTGAATCTCGAGAACTTAATAATCAGTTAGAAAATTTTACAAACCTAACTGGAAAAAAACAAGAATGTGACAGAGCACTTTTAAAATTTTTTATTTGCTGCGGAATTCCTTTTATGATCATTGAACATCCTTTTTTTTTAGAATTTGTAAAATGTTTAAATCAAGCTTATGAACCACCTAAACGAACTCATCTATCAACAACTTTATTAAAAAGTAAAGTTGCAGATATTACTATAAAAATTGAAAATGAAATTGCAAAAGAAAAAAACTTAACACTCGGCAAATAATTTTTTTTATTTAATAAATTTTTGTATTATCTAAATATAGTAATATTTAATTAATTATATCTATTTTGATATAGGTCTTGATGGGTGGACAAATCCGATTGGCCAAAGTATTCATGCATACTTATTAATGACATCTAATAAAAAGGAATATTTGTATAGTCTTCGAAATTATTCAAGACAATCGCATATAGGAAAATTTCTTGCAAATGAAATTCAAGATATTATTGAAACAATTGGTGTAGAAAAGTTTGGAGGAATTGTAACTGATGGCGCTGCAAATATGAAGCTAGCTAAAAATCTTGTTGTTAAATCTTATTCATATATTCTTCCTATTCGATGTATTGCACATCACATAAATCTTATTACGAAAGATATTCTTAAACAACAATGGGCTTCTAATATAATGAAAAAGTGTTAATCAATTGTAAAATAGACAAAATTATCACATCAAGTTGGAGAACTTCTTCGTAACATACAACAAGAATATTTAATTTCTGATGACAGAATTCAGTCTTTAGTAAAAACTTGTTGGTCAACTGCTTGGGATTGTCTTATTTCAATTTTAAGACTACAACCATGTTTAATAATGGTATAATATTTAATTAAATATTTTAATTTTTTTTATATTATTATTACAGAATATTATTGGCGTACATATTTAAACTTTAAATTAACTTTTATTATACATATATTGCATATATATTAGATTTTACAAAATTATCCGAATATAGTTCCAAAAGATGTAGCTAATTCAATAGGTTCTCGAGGATTTTTTAATGATGTTGAATGTTTATCACAGCTTATATATTCTGCAAAAAAAGCAATTACAGCTGTTGAATCTAAATCAACTACCTTGGCAGATGTTTATATTAAATTGGTTCAATTAGCATCTGCAATACATTGTATTCCACTAGAAACTGATTATATTGAGTTTCGTAAAATTTGCATTCAAATTTATAACCGTAGATGGGATGAATTTGACTTTGAAATTTTTAAATTAGGATACTTTTTTCATCCTAAATATCATGGTTAGTAATAGAATTATCTTATATTTGTATTATTTATATAATAAAGTTTATTTATATTATATAATTTTTATTAGATGCTGGATTACAAATTGGTGGGTTTCGAGTAATAGCAAAAGCTGCCATAAATATATGGAAATCATTAGGTGGTGGAGACAAATCAGTTGAAGTATTACTTTCTCAAATGAAAGACTATTATGAGTATGTAAAACCATATAATGATTGCTAGGCCGATAATACTGATACATTAATTAGTTGGTAGAAAAGCTGTGATGATCGACCCAATTATTTGTCACGAATGGCATTAAAAATCTTAGCAATTACACCACACAATGCCAGATGTGAAAGAATTTTTTCTGTACTTAGATGGTTTTATGGTCAACAAAGGTAAATTTTATTAAAATTATTTTTTTTTTTAGAAGTGAAATTATTATAAAAACATTATTATATTTATTACATTTTATTTTATTATAAATTATATAGACATCGGTTAAATATTACAAAACTTGAAGATATGGCAAAGATACATACCTATTATATTTCAAATATTGATACTGAACTTACTCATGCTGCACCAAATATTGAATTGGATGAATTACGGAAAAAAGTCTTGGATGCAACTTTATCTATGGGATTAAAGGATGAGCTTGAAGAAGAAGATAATTATACAATAGACGAAATTGAAGAAGAGCTTTTTATATTAGAAGAAAGTCCAAGTGATGATATTTCTGTTGAAAGTGAATTATTAATAATCGGCAATACTATGGATTTAAATTCATCTAATTTTAAAATACAACCTTTAGCATTAGATAATTATAGTTCTAAACCTATTGGAGACAAAATTGAAGAAGATCATGGCAATGTAGAATTCGGTGTTGATGCTTTAGTAAATAGCTTTGATATTTGAGCATTTACATTATATACAATTAAATATATATAAATGTATTTAATATAATAAATTATTATAATATATAATAACAATATCTATTTAGCTGAAACTAATAATTATATAAATATTGAGTTTTATAATATTTAAAGTTGCGGCATTTAGTTTAGATTATGGCACACATTTTAGGTTTCGGTTTTAGTTTTGGATTTCGGCACGAATTATGGCTTGCGGCATTATTTCTACCAAAAAATTGATGCCAAAATATTTTCGGCAAGGCCGCAAGTAGTTTCTACGCCATGTATAATTTAAACGGTATAAATCACGTGATTTGTGCAAAAAATATAGTTAATTGGCCAAATAAAAGATACACATACAAGTCACTCTCATTATATTGAAATTGTCACACCGAGAGAAGTTTGTATAAACTATGACGAGAGTGACTCGTGCCTAGAATTTTGTTAATAAAATTTTAGACCAAATGATTCTCATTAAGAAGGCTTCTGAAATTAGAATTGTAAAAATGTAGTTACTATGAAATAGTAGATCATATTCATTATGCTATTCACTATTACATACTCTTGATCAGTGGAATTTCTTATCCATTTATTTGGACCTTAGATTTTAATTGTTTGATTAGAAAATAACAATCACATATATAAAGTATAAACGATCAAAGAAGGATAGTATGTAGTATACTACACTATATATTTAGAAATCATAAATTATGTAATAAAATTAATAAAAAAATCAATACCATTGGTATTAAATATAATAAAAATTTATACAATTAGTATAATGTATAATAAAATATTTAGTAATATTAATCGGTTGATTGTAAGGCCACCCCAATTTAATTCAGTGATTTACATTACCCGAAGTGGAGATGTAATGTAAACTACCGAATTAAATTGGGGTGGCCTAAAGTGACATTTGGTGTTCTAATAAGAAGTTTTCCTTGTGCGATATCTTACCTCTAACCTTATTCTAAACACTAATCCAACATTAATGGATTTTTTCTTATGGCACGTGCGCGTTAATGAAGTTTTTTTGGAAACATTTGTAATTATAGAATGTGTTCAAACAAATCGCCCCGAATATTTCTTGTGAATTTGTGATATTTCCACCAATACCGACCATAACACTATCTCATTCCAGAATACAGTGTCCATCAATCAAAATATAATAAAATTACCCCGATGTCACGGATGACCTGTCCGTTTTAAAATATCTGATTGGCTAAAAAATCAAATCAATCAATCAATCAAATCAAATAAAATTATAATAAATTACCCCGATGTCACGGGTGCCTGTTTTAATTTTGCAAATTATTGTTAAACTGATAAATTATATAAATAACGATAAAATAAATAAATATATGTGATTTATAGCAATATAGCAATATAAATACAAAAGTAAGTAAAATAAATACGTATGTGTGGTATACTAGAGCGTGATGTACCTGCTTGAATCTGGATCTTTCGATTATCTTGGATGCATGCTTATTATTTTAAGACGAGTCTTAAAATAGCAGCATTAAATATGCTTGAGAAAAGTTGTGTGAAAACTTTCCCATACATGTTTACATAACATTTATATTTAACTTATATTCATTATATTATATTGTTGTGCAGTAAATCGGCGAGTCTGTCGATAATTCCTTCCAATTCTCGTGTAACCTACGGCGACTTAGTCGAAATAGGCGTGTTAGATTTGGCTGGGTGGTTTATCCGTAGATAAGTACTATTCTTCTCTTCTAAGTCTTTCCTTCA